CTACAAATCTATCTATCTATCTATCTATCTATCTATCTATCTATCTATCTATCCTGTTCATTATCTATCCATTTATCTATCAATCGACCGATGGATCTCATACTGTTGACTATCTATCTATCTATCTATCTATCTATCTATCTATCTATCTATCTATCTATCTATCTATCTATCTCTATTTTCTTTACAGTGAAGCCATGTACAACGTTTAAATAATGAGAAATAATCATTAAATAATTCGTCGCCCTTCCAAGTTCAGTGACCAGGTGAGAGTACAAGCAGTTCACATAATGTTTACATGAAGACCAACAAAGTCAATTCAACCATCAGCAAAGGAAAGTGAACTCTCTTTTTACACAATACAAACTGCGTTTAAGAAGGAGCTTAAATAGCATGCTTGAAAGCCACACTACTGCCAAACATTCTCCGCTAAAGACTGCAACATTCGCATTGAGTTTTGAGAGGATATAATGGCTTGGTATGATGATTTGTTAGATCCTTTTAAGAAATATCTTCTGGAGTGACGAAGCGGCATTTCACATCATTAGGTTTATCAACCGTCCCAACTGTCACTATTATTCAGGCGAAGATCATCTTGTTATCTATGAAAAAGTTCAGAATCGGCCCAAAGTAACGGTTTAGTGTGGGATGACTTCGGGCAGGATTGTAGATCCATTCATTTTTCCCGATGTCTTGAATGCCGAAAGATACTATACTATTCTGCAAGATGAAATCTAGTCAGTTATCAGTGATTTGGAGCATATTGAAGATTTGATTTTCATTCAAGATGGCGCCTATCCATATTTTGCTATTCTCATTTCTGAAAGCCCATTTACCCGGGGATGGATGGGCTATCGTGGTCCATATGAGTGGCCAGCAAGGGGTCCTGACTTAATATACAGTGACTTTTTTTTGGGGGGGTTGGTTAAAGGAGCAAGTCTATTACACAAAACCACAGACTTTGGAAGATCTCCTTGGATCAATACAAGAAGTTTTGTTTTCCATCGCACCAGAGATCCCGGTGAAATCAGTTGGGCGGTTTGAGAAGCTGGTACAGAAATCTGGTACGCATAACGAATTTTAAATAAAATTTCATGCTAAACGCTTTCCTCACATATCAATTTCTTGTAAAATGTATAGCTAATAAATGAATTATAATTAATTTAAAATGACGAGTTACTTTTCAATCTCCCTATATATATATATATATATATATATATATAGTGATTTTAAACATTATGTTAAGTGGATACACATGTTTGAGTGAATGTACTGTTTTTAAAATAAAATAAGGAATATACTCAAACATTGGTAACTTCACTAAAATATAACGTTTAAATAATGAGAAATAATATATATTATATATGAATATATATATATATATATATATATATATATATATATATATATATATATATATATATATATAAATACATGTTAATAAACACTAATTCGGATATTGCGAACCAAGACGGCTCTCTGTGGCTGAATGGTAACAGCATGTCAGAGTATATGATGTTTCCCATAAGGTTTACAGGTTCGATTCCTGTCAGACGAGTGCATATTTTCTACAAAATCTCTCGCATATTCATTCCGTTAAATGTAAAAAAAAACGTTTAATTTAAACAGGCCAATTATTTAAATAAATCATATCAAAAATATAACGTATAAACAGAAAATGCACTAAATAATTGTCGGACTTAATCCATATCATATATATATATATATATATATATATATATATATATGAATGCGTATATGTTTATATTATTATATATAATTATATCTAATAACCTATAAAAATATATATATATATATATATATATATATATATATATATATATAAATGAATGTAATTTCAACATGTATATATAGATTATAATATAGGTTTTCAAAAAGATAAATATACCCGCTAAAATTAGTCTATCTTTTTTAGATTTAAGAATATTAAAACAGTTCTTGTTTTATCGCAAAAAATTAAATAAGGAAAATCTGTTTATTAACAGAAAAAATACAGAAATTCATCAATATTCATTTACAGCATACATTTTCACAGATTATCTTTTGCTAATGAGATGATATCAATTATGTATGTATGGAAGCCATGTAAACACAATAAACTGTCTCTTTTTCTTTGGACAATCGCAGCTTGCCATGATAACATTTAAGATGCCACCTGCCTTGTTAAGGCCGTTTCATTTAATTATCTGAGGATGCTAAATGTTACTTGATTCTTTAGGACAAGAACAACATTACGCCCTGTCATCACCCACGACCTCTGATAAATCCGTTAGAATAATCTATTTTCTCTTGAATGGCATTAAGATTAATGACTTGTCATCCATATCATGCTGTTATTAAAAATAAATAAATAATTACAATAAAGAAATCGTTTTTTATTCTAGATGTAGGCGATCATGGCTCTCCGCGGATATATTTGTGTTAATGGAATTGGTATGCATTCTTGAGAAATATAATGGAATTGTTTACCATTCTCTTCTACGCAGTTTGGAATGTACAGATTTACAGTAACACCCTTGCTGCTTTTTTTCTTTGTTATCACCATTGACAACGCATTCTAGAGAGACTACATCATCTAAGTTTTAATTTATCAAATTCTTTTAGGCTGGTTACCAGTCAAGCTTAGAATATGCTGATATTAAACTGATACTATTTTCCTTGTGCATATGAAGATTTATTGCCTAAAATCTATCTATCTATCTATCTATCTATCTATCTATCTATCTATCTATCTATGTCAATTCTTTTCCTATCTATCTATCTATCTATCTATCTATCTATCTATCTATCTATTTATCTATCTATCTATCTATGTCCATTCTTTTCCTATCTATCTATCTATCTATCTATCTATCTATCTATCTATCTATCTATCTATCTTATTTAACATTGTGCCGTCCGCTGTACTCTCTCGTTTCATCCATCGGACAATGTCTTTATCGATCAAGCTAAACGGAGTCCCGTGGCGTGGAAGAAGCGACAAGACCACACACTACAAGTGCAGAGTGATGTGACCATTACGGTCGGAAGCCTGAATCAGGAAGACATTTTCGGGACTTTTCGGAACACTGCGGGTCACGCTTGCCAGCTATTAAGGTCGTTTGTTATATTCAATAGAGTGTCTTTTAAGATAGCTTTACCAGGACAAATAGTGACCGGGCGGTTATACCATGATATTTTCGTTCGAAATGTATTTTGTTTAAATATCATTTCACAGGGATATCATAGATTTTACAAGGGATGTATTTCAAACAACTTTCATCATTGTATGCGTTTTGGGGAGTATTTTCAATTTTTGGATGGTATCGTCTTCTGCCTTGAAGTTAAAGTAAAGGAATTAGAAGCAAAGAAATAATTTCGGACGATGCTTGAACTCATATTCCATAAGTAATCATGTGTTGTAAGGCGAGACATACACCAACAGGGATAGAGAAGCCATTGAAGCGAGTCGGAGATATTAATAATCCTTTTTCTACACTCTTTATTTTTATTCCTTCCGTGACGTTATCTATATGATAATGCTTCTACTTCTGTTTGTAGGAGTATTTGCTGGAGCCAATTTAAAAAAAAATGTAAAAGAAAATCATAATGGAAGTTTTTCTTCTGAAAGCTTGTAGAATCCTAAAAGATAAAAAAAAAACCTACAAAGAACTGCCGGAGAAATCATTTCACACATGATATTCAAAATCAATTCGTCGTCAATAAGAAATAGAAATAAAAACAAATAGATTAATTGTTGTGGATTCCGAGATGAAATTCGGTCTCCAATGAATGACAAACGCAAGAAATAAAGATAAGAGATTAAATGTATTTACGCAATAATACAATGGGTATATTGTTAGTAAATCCAGGAACGTGATTAGTCGTAATAATAATTATATATATATATATATAATTTATATATATATATATATATATATATATATATATATATATATATATACAGTCTCAAGTAGGACTTCCTTAGAGACTACGTGCTTGTAGCTGATTTTACAAGCGCTTACCTCACACTATTACTCTACCCCCAACTCATACACAATCTCTGGTCACTCTTCCAATCTCTATCAATCTCTCTATATTCTGACAGACTCTTGGTATTTAACGGCAGCAGTCCAATTAACACTTTGGTCGAGTCCACTTATATGAAAAAGGGAAGGACCCCATAACATTAATCAAATTATTTTTCATCCAATGAAAATTATTTATAAAGGAATGAAAGACACATGTCTGTTCCTGGAGCGGAAATAACATTATAGGTTTGTCTATCATGCGTTTTACACTTCTACTCAGTCTTTTCCGAAAGAGTAGGGCTTTGTCCCTTGTTTTCTGATTTATTTACTGCTGACTTTGATACTTCTTTCTTTATTTTGTGTTCTCGATTCCTTCTAAGGTCTTCTCGATTCCTCCTAAAGTCTTCTCGATTCCTTCTAAAGTCTTCTAGATTCCTTCTAAGGTCTTCTCGATTCCTTCTAAAGACTTCTCGATTCCTTCTAAAGTCTTCTCGATTCCTTCTAAAGTCTTCTCGATTCCTTCTAAGGTCTTCTCGATTCCTTCTAAAGTCTTCTCGACTCCTTCTAAAGACTTCTCGACTCCTTATAAAGTCTTCTCGATTCCTTATAAAGTCTTCTCGATTCCTTCTAAGTTCTTCTCGATTCCTACTAAGGACTTCTCGATTCCTTCTAAAGTCTTCTCGATTCCTTCTAAAGACTTCTCGATTCCTTCTAAAGTCTTCTCGATTCCTTCTAAAGTCTTCTAGATTCCATCTAAGGTCTTCTCGATTCCTTCTAAAGTCTTCTCGATTCCTTCTAAAGACTTCTCGACACCTTCTAATGTCTTCTCGATTCCTTCTAAAGTCTTCTCGATTCCTTCTAAGGTCTTCTCGATTCCTTCTAAAGTCTTCTCGATTCCTTCTAAGGTCTTCTCGATTCCTTCTAAGGTCTTCTCGATTCCTTCTAAAGTCTTCTCGATTCCTTCTAAAGACTTCTAGATTCTTCTAAAGGTCTTCTCGATTCCTTCTAAAGTCTTCTCAATTCCTTTTAAAGTCTTCTAGATTCCTTCTAAGGTCTTCTCGATTCCTTCTAAGGTCTTCTCGATTCCTTCTAAAGTCTTCTAGATTCCTTCTAAGGTCTTCTCGATTCCTTCTAAAGTCTTCTCGATTCCTTCTAAAGTCTTCTCGATTCCTTCTAAGGTC